TTTTTTTTTTGAGACAGGGTCTCACTCTGTTACCCAGGCAAGAGTGCAGTGGTGTGATCTCAGCTCACTGCAACCTCCACCTCCCAGGCTCAAGTGATCCTCCCATCTCAGCCTTTCAAGCAGCTAAAACTACAGACATGGGACACCACGCTGGGCTAATGTTTTCGTATTTTTTGTAGAGATCAGGTTTTGCCATATAGCCCAGGCTGGCCTTGAACTCCTGGGCTCAAGTGATTCTCCTACCTCAGCCTCCTGAGTAGCTGGGACTACAGGTGCATGCCACTGCCCCTGGCAGATTTACATTTTTAAATGATAGTATTTAATCATGTGATTTGCAAAATCAATTTCCTATTATTAAACGTTTAGATGCTTTCCATATTTTCATATTTTAAATGAACTGCAAATAGCTCCTTTGTGATGAAAGCCTTCCATCTTCTTTCTTCTTTCTTTCTAATGATATGCTCAGGATAACTCCCCAGAAATGGTATTAGGGATTGAAACCGAGCACATGTTAGTATTAGTTTCCTAGGGCTGCTCTCATGAAATCCTACTAACTGGGTGGCTTAAAACAACAGAAATTTATCTTTTCACAGTTGTAGAGTCCAAAAGTTAGAAACAAAGTCGTTGGAAGGGTTGGTTTCTTCAGGAGGCTGACGGGGAGAATCTGCTCTATTCCTCTTTCCTGGCTTCTGGTGGTTGCTGGTGATCGTTAGCGTTCCTTGGCTGGTAGACACATCACTGCAGCCTCTGTCTTCCCATGGCATTCTCTTGGTGTACCTGTGTCTCTGTAGCCACATTTCCCTCTTTATGACACTGTTCTTATTGGGTTTGTGGCCCACAATAATCCAGTATTGCTTCATCTCACCTTGACCCATCTGTCAAGACTCTATTTGTAAACAAGATCACATCCACAGGTTCTGGGTGGACATGAGTTTCGGGAGGACGTAGTTTAATCCAGGACAGTGTTTATGTCTCCTATACTCTTCGCCACCCTGTGAAGCTGAGATGGTTTCCCCTCCTTTCATCTTTTTAAACTTCGTATCAAGTTTAAAATTTTCAAACATACCTAAAGGTAGGCTGATACCATGATAAGCCCCCTATATACTATCAGTCCATTTCACTTAATCATAGGGAATGCAAAAAGAACACAAAAATAGTTCCCTAAGTTTTTAATTCTTTAGGTTGAAATGTTTAATTAACTTAAACTTTTAGCCCTCTTCATTTCCCAGTTTCTATTTAGTTGGGTATTGCAGGTTGTACAGTTTTTCTTTTTCTTCTTGTTGGTAAAAACCTCCTTCCCTTCTTTGTCTAGGTTGTGCTGTGTTACAGGTCAGCCCAGTGACTGAAACACGTACTTATCATGATGTGGCAAAAGAGATTTGCAAATGCGATGTTGATGAATTTGTTGTTTTAGGTAAGATTTGGAAACTGTTTGAATTTGACTGGCTGCCTCCCTAGTCCCATCTGTATACATATACTGACATGCATCACACACAGTACTACATTACAGTGGCATTCAAAGAAACTTCCAAAATCAGATTCTCTCCCTGATATATATATATATATATATATAAAGATGTTCTTATTTCAAATGTCTTGATAGCTAATCTCTCATCTCACTTGTAGAATTGAATGAAACAGCAGATATTCATTATGGTCTGATATCTCTTTGGCCTCTCAGTTATATTTTAGTGAAATTCCAGATGAAATCCGCTCTTTGATTATTACCTGTACTCTCATTATCTGTTCTGTTCATTTCTTAGAACGTGAAGCATGGAAATGGTGAATAATTTGCTCTTTCTGAGATGCAGGGAGTGATTTTAGTGTTCTTTTTATAAAATGGGCTGCGATTAAATGACACAGACTAAAAGACCTCACCACTCTTTCTTTTATTTTCCCACAGAGCTTGGAGAGTTTAATGATATCACAGAAACCTGTAGCTGTTCCTGCAGCTTCTCTAAGAGGTATCTGTCTTCTGTGCACGGCACTCATACACTCTTGGGCTGTCACCTCTGAGGCAGTGTGAACACTAGGCCTCTGACATTCTGGGCCAACTTCAATTAGTTCCAATGATTTGTTCCCATGAATCTAGGAGATTACCACCTAGAAATGAAACAATCGCCCCCAAAGTTTCCATAGTGTTTTACGATATATAAAAGGCTTTTATATGCATTTTCATTTAATCCTCATTTCAGTTGAATAGACTGGGCAAATCATATATATGCATGTGTGTATATATCAACTTCTGTTTTGACAGAGTTTTGCTCTTGTCACCCAGGTTGAAGTGCAATTGCCCGATCTCGGCTCACTGCAACCTCTGCCTCCCAGGTTCAAGCAATTCTCCTGCCTCAGGCTTCCATAGCTGGGATTACAGGCACCCGCCACCACACCTGGCTAATTTTTTATTTTTGGTCACCATATTGGCCAGGCTGGTCTCGAACTCCTGACCTCAGGTGATCCACCTGCCTCAGCCTCTCAAAATGCTAGGATTACAGGTGTGAGCCACCATGCTTGACCATATATTTATGTATTTTTAAACCTCATTTTGTAGACATAAAAATTGACACTCATACAGGATGTGCTTCAGGACACGAAGGCTGTGGGTATAAACAGGGCGTGAATGCAGGTCTTCTGACCCTAAAGCCAGTGCTCTGTTACCACACCTCCAAGTCTTAGTGCCCTCAATAAATAAAAGGTGCTTTATTTATTGAACATGGAGGAGCTATGTTGAGTAAGATACCTGGTGAGTAATTGATGCATCATCTCATATCATGGCCTCTTCTGCATTTGGGGGGCTGAGAAGAACAGTTGAAAACTTCAGGAAGACCCTGAACAGACTCCTCATGAATATAGTTTTCCAGTTTTTGCATCTCTTACGTTTTCAGTGTCACTTATGAGCCAGACTTCAATTCTGCTGAACTATTAGCCAGAGAGCTGTACCGCGTATTCCGGAAGTGCTGGATACTGTCAGTAGTTAATTCTCAGCTGGCAGGTTCCCTGACTGCAGCTGGCTCGATAGTAAGTATCAAAAGAAATTGACCTTGAATCAAAAGTTCCTAAATCCTCATTTTACCTGCCCTGTTCACTTTAAACGTTTGTATTTCCTTGTATGGTAACTGGATATTAGGGGAGACTCAAAATGAATGAGGAAACTGGCATGTATTGAATGCTAATTGTGTACCAAAGACTGTGCTCAGCAGTCCAGATTATCTTCTCTTTTTTTTTTTTTGAGATGGAGTCTTACTCTGTCACCCAAGGCTGGAGTGTAGTGGCACAATCTCAGCTCACTGCAACCTTCGCCTCCCGGATTCAAGCAATTCTTCTGCCTCCACCTCCCAAGTAGCTGGGACTACAGGCACCCGCCACCACGCCCAGCTAACATTTTCATATTTTTAATAGAGACTGGGTTTTACCATGCCTGCCAGGCAGGTTTCCAACTCGTAACCTCAAGTGATCTGCCCACCTCGGCCTCTCAGAGTGCTAGGATTACAGGCCTGAGCCACCGTGCCCGGCCAGCAGTCCACATTTTAATCCTCATAAGTATCCTATTAGGTAGAGGCTGTCCTTATTTTTATTTTTATGTGGTGGGCCCAGCCCTTCAGCAAGGCTGGTCAGCCGTGAAGCGGAAGTCATGCCCAGGCTGCCTTATTGGAAAGTACATGTTGGCTCCCTCATGGAACACACTGCCCTCAGAGTGGCAGCCTACTGGGGTAGAGAGCATTGTGACAAAGGCTAAAGTGGGGGTAGGGAAAACGCCCTCACTGTGCAGAGGAAGGAGTGTTTAATAGCAGGGGAACTTAGGAAGGCGATTGCAGATTTCAGAACTTGAGCTAAGTATTGGGCTGGCTAGAACTATGGCAGGTAGAAAGGTTGGGGGAGGGTGTTCTTGGCAAAGAGCAGCTGCAGCAAATGTGGAGGGGCATGCTATGCTCTGGAGCAGAGTGATTTGGTGTGGTTGGGTAATACCTGTGAATATTTGTGTGTGAGAGGTTGTTTTTTATGGAAATAAGATTTGAATGATAGTGGCCAAATTGTGAAGGATGCAGAAAGCTAATTTAAGAAGTTTGGATTTTATTTTATTTTATTTACTTGTTGAGACAGAGTCTCGCTCTGTTGCCCAGGCTGGAGTGCAGTGGCATGAGCTTGGCTCACTATAACCTCTGCCTCCTGGGTTCAAGCAATTTCTGGCTAACTTTTGTATTTTTAGTAGAGACGGGGTTTCACCACATTAGCCAGGCTGGTCTCCAACTCCTGACTTCAAGGGATCCTCCCACCTTGGCCTCCAAAGTGCTAGGATTACAGGTGTGAGCCACTGCACCCAACTGAGAAGTCTGGATTTTAAATAACAATAGAAAAGTGCAGTGGTTGAGAGGCAAGACACTGAAAATTTATAAGCAAGGGGAATGGCCGTCATAGCCCTGTTTCCGGGGAAGACTGATAATGATAGCATCTGTCAGTCTGTTGACTAAGACGAGTGAGGCTTCCACTCTTCATAAATGTACTCCAGGTCAGAATGACCTACTTACAGTAAATTTGAAGTCTGGAAATAAATGAACTAAAAATACTAAGAAAAGTTACCTCATCTGGGTGGTGGTTAAAGCAATTCTCTTGCAGATGGCTTTAGAGAGGTAGAGGGCTCTTGCTGTGTCCTTTCGTTTGGCTGAAAACACTATTAATTTTTCATGGTAAATTTTAATGTTGGAAATACATTTAGATGTTCTTTTAATTTAAATTCTTTGAAATATGCCTGTTTAAGTTGTTCCTAAATCGTTTTATGTATTATGCAGGTTGTAAATGAAGAGCGTGTCCAAAAAGACTTTGAATCCAGTATGAATATAGTACAGGAAATTAAATTTAAGTCTAGGATCAGAGGGACTGAAGACTGGGCTCCTCCTAGATTTCAAATCATATTTAATATTCATCCACCACTCAAGTAAGTATGGGTTGCTGCTTCGACCTCCAATCCATTTAAAACACATTGGGACAGATCCCACCTGACTCTATGGCAGTAGGTGAAAATAACATATATGCTGAAGAACATAGGAAAACTGGATTTAGGAGAAGGAAAGTTGGCTGTATTTTCTGGCTTAGCTTTTTTTTTTTTTTTTTTTTTGGCCTCTTGTTTACCATGGACTTTTGGGGACTCTGTAAGTTTTGACAAGTTGAGAATTTAACTAGGCATCGCTAATTCTGAATATTACACAGCAACTCAATATTAAATAGGCTTAAAGGGGACTTTTTTAAGGTGGCTAATATCAAAACTTAAAAATTATATACAATAATTTTGTTTTATTTTATTTTATTTATTTTTTTAGAGATGAATTCTTGCCCTGTTGCCCAGGCTGGAGTGCAATGGCATGATCTTGGCTCACCGCAACCTCTGCCTTCTGAGTTCAAGTGATTCTTCTGCCTCAGCCTCCTGAGTAGCTGGGATTATAGGCACGCACCACCATGCCCAGCTAATTTTTGTATTTTTAGTACAGACGGGATTTCATCATGTTGGCCAGGCTGGTCTGGAACTCCTGACCTTGTGATCCACCTGCCTTGGCCTCCCAAAGTGCTGGGATTACAGGTGTGAACCACTGCACCCAGCCTTATTTTTTTTTTTTTTAATTTGTTTCCTTTTTTAAAAAATATTAGAGATGGGCTTTTGCTGTATTGCCCAGGCTGGTCTCGAACTCCTGGGCTCAAGTGATCCACCCACCTTGACCTCCCAAAGTGCTGGGATTACAGGTGTAAACCACCTTGCCCAGCCTGCAATAATTTTAAAAGACTGGACACTTTATCTTCTGGAACAGTCAGTGTAAAAAAAAAATGAATGAACAAACTTCTAAAAACGGAAAATTTAATCTTAGGGAAAGCACTTCCAGTTAAAAAATGTAACAGAGGCTAGGCACAGTGGCTCATGCCTGTAATCTCAGCACTTTGGGAGGCCCAGGCTGGGGTGGGGGGGATCACCTGAGGTCAAGAGTTTGAGGCCAGCCTGGGCAACATGGTGGAACCCCCTCTCTACTAAAAATATAAAAATTAGCCAGGCGTGATGGTGCAAGCCTATATAGTCCCAGCTACTAGGGAGGCTGAGGAGCAAGAATCGCTTTAACCCAGGAGGCAGAGGTTGCAGTGAACTGAGATTGTGCCACTGCACTCCAGCCTGGGTGACAGAGTGAGACGTGATCTCAAAACAAACAAAAGAAATGTAACAGAATGTAAATAAAAATGTTTGTTCTCTAAGAAGTAATAAAAGTTCTAAAAGGCAAAGCAACTAAGATTATACAAGAAAGGAGGTAAACCTATATATTTAAAGTAATAGTTTAAGTATAATTTGTTCTAAGAGTATAGGACAGATTATAGGCAGAGATTATACACAAAACATTTTAACCATGTATAGTTTTTCCATCCCTCTTGGTTTGTATTCAGTTTGGCGTGCGAACTGCCGAGCCTTACAAAGGGACCGGTGAGGGTTGTTGACTGTGCCCAAGGGAAGGAGAGATGGTGGTGACTGTGCCTATGGAGATGCCTTATAGACTATATCTTTTTTTGTTTTTTTTCTTTTGAGAGACTGCCAAGAAAGTCTCTGGGGCTGCTTGGGCAGAGCTCCCTCTCTAGGCATTGTGAGGGGTCACTTTCCTTAGCCTGGGGTATCTTTTCTTTAGGGTTTTCCTAGGTCCTGGGCAGAGATTTAGCATATTTTTACCTTGGCCATCTTTGCCAATCCTGAATTGTAATCAAATTTTATAACTTTCTTGGTATTTCCAAGTCACATGTAAAACTATGGCATAAACAGTTCAATAGAAAATGCCTCAGCCTGGACACAGTGGCCAATGCCTGCAATTCCAACACTTTGGGAGGTCAATGTGGTGGATACCTGAGGTCAGGAGTTCAAGACCAGCCTGGCTAACATGGCGGAACCCCATCTTTACTACAAATAAAAAAGTTAGCCAGGCATGTTGGTGCATGCCTGTGGTCCCAGCTACTCGGGAGGCTGAGGCAGGAGAACCGCTAGAACCCGGGAGGTAAAGGTTGCAGTGAGCTGAGATTGCACTACTGCACTCCAGCCTGGGCAACAGAGTGAGACTCCATCTCAAAAAAAAAAAAAAGAAAGAAAGAAAGAAAATTCCTCAATAGAATGGAATATCTCTTACCAGCAATGTTTGATTTGATTTCCTTGTCTTACAGTACCTCTTATTCATCTAAATTTCATTAGATCCATTTGTGAATTTCCCAAGTCATCACCTTTTGGTGTACAGCCTCCCTGAACTGTCTTCCTTATATAACATGTCTCTAGTTCTCCCTGGAGCTGGAACCCTGTGCGTGGGCATCGAGACATCCCTAAAAACCCCTTGGAGTTATTAGTGACACTGACTTCTGTTTTGGTTTTAGCAGAAGCCTTTAAAGAGTTCTAACTTTAAGGCTGAACACAGTGACTCATGCCTATAATTCCAGCACTTTGGGAGGCCAAACTACAAGGATGACTTGAGGCCAGGAGTTTGAGACCAGCGTGGGCAACACAAAGAGACCCTGTCTCTACAAAAAAAAAAAAAAAAAAAAAAAAAAAAAAAACACAACAACAAAAAAAAAAAAAAAAAAAAAAAAAAAAAAAAAAGCCAGGCACAGTGGCTCACATCTGTAATCCCAGCACTTTGGGAGACTGAGGCGGGTGGATCACAAGGTCAGGAGTTGAAAACCAACCTCACCAACATAGGGAAACCCCATCTCTAAAAAAAATTAGCCAGGCATGGTGGTGCATGCCTGTAGTCCCAGCTGCTTGGGAGGCTGAGGTAGGAGAATCACTTGAACCCGGGAGGCGGAGGTTGTGGTGAGCTGAAATTGCGCCACTGCACTCCAACCTGGGCAACAGAGCAAGAAAAAAAGCCTAAAAAGCTAGCTGGGTATGGTGACGTGTACATGTAGTCCTAGCTACCCTACACAGGAGGCTGAGGATTGCTTGAGCCGAGCCAAGGAGCTGGAGGCAGTAGTGAGCTATGATCGTGACAGTGCACTGCAGCCTGTGTGACAGAGCAAGACCCTATCTCAGTAAAAAAAAAGTTAGTTGTAGTTTTAAAAGACCCAGAGATTTCAACTAGAAAATTGTATTGAATAAATCTATTTCTCTCCCAAATGAAAAGTGACAAAATTAAGGCCCTTAGTTGAGAAAAGTATCACAATGGCAGTTTCTTTTCCAATTAGTGAAAAATGTTCCATCAGCCTTCTCTGAAATGTGACTAGTTTCATTTTTTTGTATTCAGGAGGGACCTTGTGGTGGCAGCCCAGAATTTTTTCTGTGCCGGCTGTGGAACTCCAATAGAGCCTAGTAAGTATGGATAATGGATCACCTGCTTATTATGTGATGACAAGATCCAGAATAGTGAAGTAGGGCAGTGCATTACTTTTGTGCCTTTGATGAGAAGTTGTTGTAAGAGCGTCACAGGCAGGGCACGGTGGCTCATCCCTGTGTTCCCAGCACTTTGGGAGGCCGAGGCAGGCAGGCAGATCACGAGGTCAGAATTGAAAACCAGCCTGACCAACGTGGTGAAACCCCATCTCTATTAAATATATGACAATTAGCCAGGTGTGGTGGTGTGCACCTGTAATCCCACCTACTCAGGAGGCTGAGGCAGGAGAATCGCTTGAACCTGGGAGGCAGAAGTTGCAGTGAGCAGAGATTGTACCACTGTACTCCAGCCTGGGCAACAGAGTGAGACTCCATCCTAAGAATGAAAAAACAAAGAGCTTCACAGAAGTTGCCCTCTTTTTCATGAGTAGGCCATCGTGACTGACAGGATGTGTGACCAATCAGGAATGAGAAGACCAGGCCCAGCCTCCTAGTTTTCTCCCTGTTGGGCATCAGCTCTAGCCACGTGGCTTTTGCTGCCCCTTGAAAATGCCAGACTCAATTCTGACGCAGGCATTTGCCTTTGTGGTTTTCTGTCCCCCAAATGCCCTCCCTGCCGACACCCCTGTGGCTAATTCCTTTGCTTCTTTCACATTTTCACTCGAAAGTCACGAGGTCTTCCCTTGTTGCCCTATCAGAAATGCCTGCCTTGCCACACTGCTGGCCACAAACAATCCCATGTACACTTTATAATTACCCATCCTTACGTTTTTTCTTTATTTTCTTGCACAATATTTTCTTAGTTCATTCTTATTTTTTATTCTTCGCACATTTTTTCTAAAATACTCTCATATATTTTACTAATATGTGTTCAACACTAGATGATAAGTTCTGTGAGGGCAGATGTATTGTCTGCTCTATTTATTACTTTAATCCCAGCTTCTAGAAGATGCCTGGCATGTAGTTGGTCCTTGAACGATATTTGCTGAGTAAAGGACTGGCTTAGCAAGGAGATAGCCAAACTTCTGTGCAAAAGTTTGAGGCGGTGACCTGAGAGGATCATTCCTGGGCCAACTGAGGCCTAGAAGATCAGGTTTTCCTGGGCCAGGCATGGTGGTTTCTGTCTGTAATCCCAGCACTTTGGGAGGCTGAGGTAGGCAGATCACCTGAGGTCAGGAGTTTGAGACCAGTCTGCCCAATATGTTGAAACCCCATCTCTACTGAAAATACAAAAAATTAGCCAGGCATGGTGGCAGACACCTGAAATCCCAGCTACTCGGGAGGCTGAGACAGGAGAATTCCTTGAACCCAGGAGGCGGAGGTTGCAGTGAGCCAAGATCCTGCTATTACACTCTAGCCTGGGTGGCAAAGTGAGACTTTGTCTCCAAAAAAAAAAAGGTCAGGCTTTCCTCAATCAGAAATGCAAGTTTCCCCCTTGAGACTGGGAACCACTTGTTCTGCTCTGATGGTATCTGTAGGTCTGATCTGCAAAAGGCTGGAAAGAGGAGCTGTGTGGAAAGGTTCCCTTGGCCTTTGATAGTCAGTTTTTGAAGGAAAAAGACTATGAGGAACTCCTGCTTCAAGAGATAAAAATAGCAAGCAGGAATCAATCTGGGCTTCCTCTCCCACACTGGATGATAATGTCTGATGGGCATCACCATTGTTGCTGCTTTTCTTTGAATGACTCATTTTCCCAGCATGTCTAGTGGGGAACGTGTCTCTTTGGTTAACCACTGTATCCTGCTGCTTCCATAAATATTGAATGCCTGAGTCAGAAACTATACCATGTGACTATCGATCCACCAATTTTTTAGCTATTTCCCTGAGCTTGTTCAGGTATGGAGATGTGTGCCTTCACTTTTGTACAGTGGCCCTGCCCTCAGGGAGCTTATCATCTTTTAAGGAAGACACAGTCATCAGCAGAGTAAATGTATGTAACAAAAAGTGATGTACGCAATGAAAGAGTCAAGAGTGCAATGGGATTTATAGTGAGAGAGCTTTGAGCTTGAAAGCTGGGAGTAAAGTGATTGCCTACAGAAGTAGGGGTGCTCGTCATGTGCAAAGGGCCTGTGGCAAGTAAAAGCAACCCTGCAAGACCAGAGAGTAAGAATAGGAGGAGAAAACATGCCGCAGAGGTAGGCGGAGCATAGATTATAGGCAGCATAGAAGTAATTTTGGGCTTTTCCTGTTAACTTCCTCTAGCTTTTAAGATAACTTTTTTTTTTTTAAATCTTTCGACTTTGAGATAATTTTTAGACTTACAGAAGAGCTACAAAAATAGTAGAGAGAATTCCTGTATACCCTTCACCCAGCTTCCTCTACAGCTAACATCTTACATAATCATAGTATAATTATTAAATCTGAGAAATTAACACTGGCACAGTCCTATTAATGAAACCCTAGGCTTTATTCATATTTCATCAGGTTTTCAATAACATCCTTTATCTGTTTCAGAATCCAACTCAGAATTCCATGTTGAATTTAGTTGTCAGGTTTTCATTAGTCGCCTTCAATTTCCACACACTGAACATGACGTTTTTGCCTTTACTAGTTCAGTATGTCCCCAAAATAAGAATAATAAACACCAAAACAATTAGAAGAAATTCTCTATGTTGTCTACTTCCTAGTCCTTGTTGTTCTTAAGGTTTCGTTTATGGCTATTTTTTCCATCTAGGTTGCAATCAAGTTTCACACATTGCATTTAGTTATCATTTCTCTTTAGTTGGCTTTATTCTAGAACTGCACTATCCAGTGTGGTAGCCACTAGCCCATGTGGCTATTTAAAATTAAATTTAAATTAGTTGAAATTAAGAATCTAGAGTTCCTCAGTCATACTAACTACATTTCAAGTACTTAGTAGCCACATGTAACTCATGGCTACTATATTGGACAGCACAGATATAGAACGTTTTCATCCCCATGGAAAGTTATACTGGACATCTCTGTTCTAGAATATTTCCCCTCCACGCCACCCCTGACACTGACTTTTCATTAAATGAGAACAGTTGTGTTTTAGAGCAGGATTTCTGAACTTCAATATTGACTTTGCCATGGCGGGTGTCCTGTGCACTATAGGATGTTTAGCCACATACTACATGCCAAAGGCAGCTCCAAGTGGCAACTGAAAATGGCTCCAGACATTTGCAAATGTCTCTTGGGAGGCAAAATCACTCTTGGCCAAGAACCACTGGTTTAGGTCACTTTGTATTGTTCTGTTTTAGTTAAGGGACTTAGGAAACTTAAAAAAGATGGACATGAGTTTATTCTGTATTGATAGTATGTATTCAATAAACTTTGATCAGTGAGTGAATGGATATTGAGTATGTGTTGAGGAGTAGAGGAAAATGTTATCAGAAACTCAGTACCTAACCCTGAATTTCCCTCAGGAGCAGTGGTTCAGTATTGACTAATTCAATGTTCATGGCTACTCTGTAGAACATAACTATAATGAATAATGAAAAACAACTCTATTTGTTTGTTTTTAAACATCAACTCTGAGTGTGAGCTGGGTTCTGAGGGATAATTTGGGCAAATGCAAAGGCATTTGCCCCCTCTCCCTTCCCCGCCATTGAATACAGCGGAGGAAGACTGGGTCAGGATGGCTGTGGGCTGGAGCTTTGACAGTCCAGGCTTGGGTTGGAATCCTGCCTGCTTACCGACTGTCCGTGTGTCCCTGCATGTTGCCTAACTTCAATGTCTTGTGCTTTCATCAATCAAACGGGAAATAACTGTCCCTCCCTCATAGACTTTTGGGCACAGAAAGACGTAATAAACGTAAAACATTTAATTGATCTGTGGCACAGAGTAAGTATTCAGTAAGATTCGTTTCTGTGCCATTCAGGCCTTGTTTATTTTTAAAGCCATTATTTGGAAATGATCTTCAGAATCTACAGTGTGCGGGTTCTATGGCAGCTGCTTTCCCATCCATGATTTTCAGTAATCCTCACACTGTATGGCAACTAAGATTTGTGTTACGCTGTATGATATTTCAATTACAAAGACATGTATGACTCAAACTATGAATGATAAATTCTAGACTTGGTTCATTTCAGAACCTAGTGTTGAGGGAGGGCCACATAGGAGACTTCAACTGAATTGTTTTCTTTCTGAAGTCGGGCAGTGAGTGCACAGGTATTTGTCGCATTAGTTTCTATACCTTTTGTTTGTTAATATATTTTATTAGAGACATTTCTAGAAACAATCAATGAATGTTTATTTTAGTAGGTTAAAAAGTGCAAAGAGCAAAAATTCCTTCTTTCCCCCACCCTCCAGAAATAGTCACTGTTGGCTTTTTGGTGGAGGTCTAGACAGTGCATATATGTTTATGTGTATGTTTATATGTATGTTTTTAAATAAAATTGAGATCACAGGCCAGGAGCGGTGGCTTATGCCTGTAATCCCAGCATTTTGGGAGGCTGAGGTGAAAGGATCACGAGGTCAGGGGTTCAAGACCAGCCTGGCCAACATGGTGAAACCCTGTCTTTACTAAAAATACAAAAAATTAGCTGGGCGTAGTGGTGAGTGCCTGTAATCCCAGCTACTTGGGGAAGGCTGAGGCAGGAGAATCACTTGAACCTGAGAGGCAGAGGTTGCAGTGAACCGAGTTAACACCAATGCACTCCAGTCTGGGTGACAGAGTGAGACTCCATCTCAAGAAAAAAAAAATTGAGATCACATTATACCTACTTGTAACTGGATGTCCACTTTCCATGCTCTTCCCTGTACTTAATGGGCTGTACAGCATTTCATGTTGAGTGCACCATACTTATTTAACCAGTTGTCTTTTGATTGACGTTTTGGCTACCCCACCCATTATAATTATAAATGTGCTATACTGAACACCTTTTTATATCACTACGTGTGGCTGTTAGCATTTCTGTCTGATGGAGTCACAGAAGCAGGATTACTGTTGCACATGTAAGAATTGAAGTATGTCACAGAAATGTCTTCCTATAAATTAGTTCTATCAGTGCTAGAGCTAAGTGCCTTCCTCTAGATACCGCACCAGTTCTGGGTCTTCTAAATTTATGACAGTTTGAGGCAAAACAGAGTATCTTGCTTTTATTTCATTTCATTTCAATTTCATTTTATTATTTGTCATCAATTTGTGACAGGGTCTTACTCTGTTGCCCAGGATGGAATACAGTGGCATGATGGTGGCTAACTGTAGCCTCCACCTTTAAACAATCCTCCTGCCTTAGCCTCCCAATAGCTAGAACTATAGGTACACACTACCATGCCTAGCTAATTTTTTTTTTTTAGAGATGGGGTCACATTATGTTGCTCAGGCTGGTCTTGAACTCCTGGGCTTAAATGATCCTCCTGCCTTGGTCTCCCAAAGTGCTGGGATTACCAATACAAGGCACTGTGGTTGGCCTCACTTTTAAAATATGCATTTCTTTGTTTCTGAGATTGTTTCTCTGTCGATTATCTGCATTTCTTCTTTCCGTGAATTACCTGTTCACACCCTTTTCTCACTGATTTATCAAGAAGGTCTTTATGACACGACTTCCTAACACTGTATGTATACTGCTTCATAATTTACAAATCACTTTTCCTATGTGTAATATCACTCACTCCAGTTCTGAGTTGCATTTCGTGGTCTCAGAAGAGTTAGCCTAAAGAGATTACAACCTGCCTTCAGTCTTCCTCCTAGTGAGAGGAGTCTGGACTCCCACCCAGATTTCCAGATCCTAAAATGAACGTTTCTTTTGCTACACTGCAGATGGAAATTTGCAATTTCCATCTTCCAAATCCAGGAGTATCTTGGGAAGGTTTTGTTTTTCTGACATCTGTTCCACAAGAGCAGAGCTCATGAATGACTATGATTTAACTTCCCAAGTCCCTGCTGGAGCATTCCTAGCTGTCATGAGGTTGACTATGGCTTTATCATCACAAAACGAGTCATCTGAGTCTTTGAATCCTGCATAGGAATTGGAAGCTGGGGGTAGACCAGGATAGGTTTTCAGCACCAGGTGTGGCACTCACCCTCCGGTATGCTTGGCAGAGTTTGTGAAACGGCTCCGGTACTGTGAATACCTCGGGAAGTATTTCTGTGACTGCTGCCACTCATATGCGGAGTCCTGCATCCCTGCCCGGATCCTGATGTTGTGGGACTTCAGGAAGTACTACGTCAGCAATTTCTCCAAACGGCTGCTCGACAGCATATGGCACCAGCCCATTTTCAATTTGCTGAGCATCGGCCAAAGCCTGTATACGAAAGCCAAGGAGCTGGACAGAGTGAAGGTGAGCCGCAGCCCCAGCACTGTCTCTCTCATTGGAAGTGTCCTGTGGCAGGAAATGTACATCACCCTCGGTTAGGGAACCCATAGATACATCCTCTAAGAGGCAAATGGATCATAAAATGAGTAAAGTGGCTGGGCATGGTGGCTCATGCCTGTAATCCCAGCACTTTGGGAGGTCAAGGTGGGCGGATCAGGAGTTTGAGATCAGCCTGGCCAACATGGTGAAATCCCATCTCTACTAGAAATTAAAAAAAAAAATTAGCCAGGTGTCGTGGCACATGCCTGTAATCCCAGCTACTTGGGAGGCTAAGGTAGGAGAATCACTTGAACCTGGGAGGCAGAGGTTGCAGTAAGCAGAGATCGCCCACTGCACTCCAGCTTGGGTGACAGAGCAAGACCCTGATCCCCGCCCCCCCCCCAAAAAAGAGTGAGGATTATGCTTTGCAGCCCCTCTATTGCATATGCTGTTTCCAAGGCCGCACACTGAATCTTATACTTAGTACTATGTTTTTCTTTTTTGAGAGAGTAAAACTCTGTTGCCCAGACTGGAGCGCAGTGGTGCAATCTTGGCTCACTGCAACCTCCACCTTGCAGGTTCAATGGATTCTCCTGCCTCAGTCTCCCAAGTGGTGGGATTACAGGCACTTGCCACCATGCCCAGCTAATTTTTGTGTTTTTAGTAGAGATGGGGTTTCATCAGATTGGCCATGCTAATCTCAAACTTCTGACCTCAGGTGATCCTGCCTCAGCCTCCCAAAGTGCTGGGATTACAGGTGTGAGCCACCGCGCCAGCCAGTATTATGTTTTTCTTGAAAAAGGTCCCAAAGTTCTGTAAGTTTTTGGTTCCACAAAACCTGTATCCATCTGAAACATACTTTGTGGATCAATGGACTCACTTGTGAAGGCCTGCTGTATAGGCAGTTTGGTGTCAAGGTTTGTTTTATACAAATGCAGCATTTCAAGGTTAAAGACAAGACTTACACTTTTCCTGTGTCATTTATTACATTTAACCTTCCCCCATGTTTGGTTTCTCCCATTAGGAAATTCAGGAGCAGCTCTTCCATATCAAGAAGCTGTTGAAGACCTGCAGGTTTGCTGACAGGTACTATTCTCAGCTGGAACAGGCTGCCTTCCCTCCATACATCTGCTAATCCTATTAGTGCCTCCTGCACCTGGCTCCCCCATTACACAAAGCATCTTAGCACAGTGATGACCTCTTGGCTTTCCTTGGGAAAGCACACTATCTCTTTGAATTACTAAACCAATAGTGGAATGCATTAGTCTGTTCTCAAGTAGCTAATAAAGACATACTGGGTAATTTATAAAGGAAAGAGATTTTGATTCACAGTTTCACGTAGCTGGGGCAGCCTCACAATCACGGTGGAAGGTGAATGAGTAGCAAAAGCACGTCTTACATGGTGGTAGGCAAAGAGAGAGCATTTTCAGGGGAACTCCCTATTATAAAACCATCAGATTGGCTGGGCACAGTGGCTCACGCCTGTAATCCCAGCACTTTGGGAGGCCAAGACAGGTGGATCACAAGGTCAAGAGATCAAGGCCTTCCTGGCCAACATGGTGAGACCCCCATCTCTACTAAAAATAAAAAAATTAGCTGGGCATGGTGGCGTGTGCCTGTAGTCCCAGCTACTCAGGAGGCTGAGGCAGGAGAATCGCTTGAACCCGGGAGGTGGAGGTTGCAGTGAGCTAAGATCGTGCCACTGCACTCCAACCTGGTGACAGAGTGAGACTCCATCTCAATAATAATAATCATAATAACCTGTCAGCTCTTGTGAGACTTATTCATTACCACAAGAACAGCACAGGAAAGACCTGCCTCATGATTCAATTACCTCCCACCCGGCTCCTTCCATGCCACATGGAAATTATGGGAGCTATAATTCAAGATGAGATTTGGGTGGGGACACAGCCTAACCAAATAATGGAGAATTTAATTCATTAAGAAGAATGGTTTAGTTGGAGGATGAAACAAGTCTAGCCAGTGGCCTTTTTATTATTATTGTTGTTATCATTAAATTGTGGTAAATATATTTAAAATTTACCATCGTAACCATTTTTGGACTTGAACTCCCAACCTCATGTAATCCACCCGCCTTGGCCTCCAAAGTGCTTGGATTACAGGCGTGAGCCACCACGCCCGGCCTCATCGTAACCATTTTTAATGTACACTTCGGTAGCATGAAAGTATTAACATCATTGTGAAACCATCGCTACCATTCAGCCCCCAAACTCTTTTCATCTTGCAAAACTAATCATTTAACTCCCCATTCCCTCCTCCTCTTGGCCTAACTCCTGGCAGTCCCTATTCTACTTTCTGTCTCTATGATTTTGCCTACTCAATTGCCTTATATAAGTGGAATCTTACAGTATTTGTCTTTTTGTGACTGGTGTGTTTGACTTAGCATAACATCCTCAAGGTTCATTCATGTTGTAGCATGTGTCAGAATTTCTTTTGTATGTATATACTGCATTTTGTTTATCCATCTATTCATCCGTGGACACTAGGGTTGCTTCCCTCTTTGGCTATTGTGAATGAGGTAGATATGAACATGAGTATACCAGGGGCTTGTTTGTTTGTTTGTTTGTTTGAACAGAGTCTCACTCTGTCGCCCAGGCTGGAGTGCAATGGAGTAATCTTGGCTCACTGCCACCTCTGCCTCCTGTATTTTTGGTAGAGACGGGATTTCACCACATTGGTCAGGCTGGTCTCGAATTCCTGACCTTGTGATCCACCCGCCTCAGCCTCCCAAAGTACTGGGATTACAGGTGTGAGCCACCGTGCCCGGCCACCAGGGGCCTTTTAAAACCCCTTATAGGGAGGCATGTCTAACCAAGTGGGACCATGGTCTTCATAAATTGTACTTTAAAGGTTTATCCTAGGGACATACTGATGGATATTGGCAGAGATAAAGTTAAAGTGTATATTTTTTTGTTTGTTTGTTGTTTTTTTTAGACAGAGTCTTGCTCTGTTGCTCAGTCTGGAGTGCAGTGGCAGAGTCTTGGCTTCCTGCAACCTCTGCCTCCTAGGTTCAAGCAATTCTTCTGCCTCAGCCTCCTAAGTAGCTAGGATTACAGACATACGC